AAAATGCCTATGACAGTACCAAGCACATGATGAGTGCTCAGTAAATGTTAGCCATTGCTATTATTATCTATAAATTAAGTTCCAGTCCTGATGACAGACCATCCTTGATCAGACACTCCAGATAAGAATTTGGAGAGGGGGGATAGTTTCTACTGAAAGAACTGGTAGTTAAAACTTTGATTAAACAGATTGTAATGGCTTTGATGTAAAGGGAAAAAGCTGCCTATGTTTACTTCCTCTGTTAAGAGTGTATTGCCTCTTAAGCAGGACAGGTTGGGGGTGCTGTAGCATTCTTTAAATGACTCCTGGAACTGGAGAAACTCAGGCTTTGGCAAAATCAAGATAAATACTGCCAGAGAGGGTTAATTTTTTTTTTCTACTTACAGAAAAGGAAGTGGGCTTCAAAGAATTAAGTACCAAGGGGTTAGTAAGCTTTGGAGCTGCCTCCAGCATGCTCCTGTTAAGGCTTCCTGGACAGTACCCACCCCAAAGCTGTCAGCTGAACCACCTCTGATTCCAAGAACCCACTCTTGGCACTGTCTCTGCCTCCCATCATCATCCTTGGGAACAGACAGACCTGCACCTGGGCTGCTGAGGATGACATCTCAGCAAGCAGAATGGTTGCTGTGCTAAATACGTAGGCGTTAGAAACAGAATGGCAATGCAGTGAAGGGAGATAGACATCCTGAAGATTTTAATATGGCTAAGGTAGGAATGCTTAGTTAAGGACAGTCTCCTTAAAAGTGGTTAATTTGGCTGTTGAAAGAAATGATAACCGGTTTGTGGAGAACAGGAATGAATTTGTAAAGACCTGCCTGGCATTATTGGAGGGTGTACCAGTTGCCATCTTTTCACAAGGTTGAATGGATACCACTGCTGGGAAGATTTTAATGAGAACAGAAACATCAAAGCTTGATAGGGCTTCCCTTGGCCTCTCAGCTGTATTGTTGCAACTGATAACTTGTTTCTAGGACACTTTTGCAAACAATGCAAAAGCATTCTTTCTGACAATTTTATCTCCAGATACTCCTTATTTCTCATTAATAGCAGTTTGTCCTCTGTCCCCAATCCTTGCCTACTGCTCTTCTCTGGTGACACTTCTCTTGGGAGTTCATTTGTTCTTGTGGTTATAATTAACACATTACAATCCTGGGTAATGGCATTACCTTTCACCTGGACCTACCACCAGGGGAGTCGTGCCAAGGAGGTGTTGAGCAAACTCCAGCTGTGGTAAGTCCACTTTGTTGACTCATTGCTCCCTTCATACCAACAATGGAGTTTGCTTCCTGGGACGTTGGTGAATTCTGCCTTCTGGCTAAAACCTGGCCTGGGCTCCTGCAACACTTATTTGTGAAGCTTAGCCACGAAGTGTTGCAAGGCCCCTTCAAGAGAAACTGGCTCAGTAGTGCTGCTTTAATAGATGCCCGTGTTCGTACTTGGAGACTGGTGGCTACTCACCCTCTCCTCGCCAGCCCAAGTAGCATACAGTCCTAGACCGAGAAGTGATTTATAAAGTGCTTCTCTTCCTCTTCTCTTGCCTGCTCTTTCTGAGTAGATACTGATGAGTGACTATAATGAGAACTCTCCTGAGGAGAGCTGCTGGGTAGCCATCCAACAAAAGAAAACAGTGATCTCAACTTTTGCTCCTAGGTGGGTTCTGGCCAGAGCCTCCGTGCAGGAAACAATACATTCCTTGCATCCAGAAGAATATATTAATGGTCACTCATGTACTAGGTACTGGGCATAACGAATATGTTGGTATTCATTTACAACTATGATATGCTAGGAGCTGTGCATAAAGCAGTATAACAAGGTGGTCGTGCAAAGCTTATATAGTCTAGTAAAAGAGACAGGGAACGCGAAATTTTGACATGGTAAGTAGGAAAATAAAGTTAGACTATGCCAAGAGGCACCAAATGGAGGAGACAGGAAGGCTTCCTGGAGGAAGTGGTGTCGAAGTGGAGTGCTGCATGGTAGCTTTGTTAACAGAAGATTACACAGCTCATTGAGACTTTGAATAGAGAAGAAACAAGGCTGGACGAGGATATAAATTTGGTTTAAATGTGACAAATTTGATGTGCTTACAGGAAACGTTAGACAGGGCTTGTCTGCTCTGGAGAAAACTAGAGAGATTTCAGAGAAGCTGTGGGAGTGACTGGTATTACCCAGATACTGGTGCAAAGTAAAAGCTGGGAATATATTAAAGGACAAAGTATGCCCAGAGACAGGAGTGGTCAGACATAAAGGGACACGGATAGAATAGAGCATTAAGCCAAGGGACAAGTTCCTTAAATTATCTGGACTCTCAGGTCAATACATTCCTTGCATCCAGAAGAATATATTAATGGTCACTCATGTACTAGGTACTGGGCATAACGAATATGTTGGTATTCATTTACAACTATGATATGCTAGGAGCTGTGCATAAAGCAGTATAACAAGGTGGTCGTGCAAAGCTTATATAGTCTAGTAAAAGAGACAGGGAACGCGAAATTTTGACATGGTAAGTAGGAAAATAAAGTTAGACTATGCCAAGAGGCACCAAATGGAGGAGACAGGAAGGCTTCCTGGAGGAAGTGGTGTCGAAGTGGAGTGCTGCATGGTAGCTTTGTTAACAGAAGATTACACAGCTCATTGAGACTTTGAATAGAGAAGAAACAAGGCTGGACGAGGATATAAATTTGGTTTAAATGTGACAAATTTGATGTGCTTACAGGAAACGTTAGACAGGGCTTGTCTGCTCTGGAGAAAACTAGAGAGAGATTTCAGAGAAGCTGTGGGAGTGACTGGTATTACCCAGATACTGGTGCAAAGTAAAAGCTGGGAATATATTAAAGGACAAAGTATGCCCAGAGACAGGAGTGGTCAGACATAAAGGGACACGGATAGAATAGAGCATTAAGCCAAGGGACAAGTTCCTTAAATTATCTGGACTCTCAGGTTTCAGGAGAGGGAACACATTCCAGACAGACGAATCTCTGTGCTGCTGAGTTTTTAGGGAGGACGGCTGATTTTATCGCTATTCCAGACCCTATGATCTCTCCCAAGGGAAACAGTTACCAAGCTTTTCCTTCTTTACCACCCCACCGATGGGGCTTGTGCTCTGGCTATCTGGTTCATTTGGACCATCCCAATCTCTGCAAAATGTTAATGTAGGTTCCCAGCGCCTCACGAGTTCAGTCTGCTCCAAAGCTTTTCAGAATTCCCCAAGCTTGGCAATAGTTTTCCCTCTACAACCTCGGGACAAACTTCTCTTGCTCCAGTGTTCTCAACAAGCTGCACTGCCTGCCTAGGAACCCTCTCCTTCCTTGCATCCACGACTGTTAACTCTGACTTCCTGGACATCTAAAATCCTTCACTTCCACCAGGAAGTCAGCCGGGATAAATCAGAAATGCTCTCAGTTCATGTAACAGCACAGCTTACCTAACTCAAGCCGGCTTTGATGTATTTCAGGAAGAGAGGCCCTGGGTGAGTCAAGAAACCACAGATACTAGCTTGAAGCCAGTTCATGTGGCCCCTAGTAAAACAGGTTAAGTGAAAGCAAACAACCAGCTAGATTCTAGATGGGGAACAAAGGTAGCCCACAGGTACCCTAAAGTTCATTATATGCTTACTAACAAAAAATCACATCTGTTGGTGCCATGACAGTTCTGAGGCTGACCTTATCAGGGCAAAAAGAGGGCATAACCCCTAACCCTCCCTATTTGGAGAAAATCCTACCTATCCTACTGAATATGCCATCCCCTGCTTACAGTTCAGCTGTAAGACTACCCGACTAGAACCTCACTGTGCTGCTCAATCTCACGCATGCCTGCACTCCTTTCTTGAGTGTGTACTTTTGCCTTAATAAACTCCTGTCTGCTTGCACCTGCTCAGACTGCTCATGAATTCTTTCTTGATCAGAGCCAAGAACCCTCTTCTGGTTGAGGTCACACCTCGCTGACATCGCCGGCAGGGAGACATCCCTGGACGGGACTGCCCAACAACAGCTTGAGCAATAAGATTCCTCTCACATACTTGGAAGATCAGAGGTTGAAAGGAGTCTATATTTGACCTCAAAGGCCATAATTCTTTACATCTCTGCCCTGCCATGTTGACCTGGCAACCATGCAGGTCCCCCTCATACTCAAAAGGTGGGTGCAGCGGTTCCAGGCCTCACGTCCTGACACCGCAAAGGGAGGAAGGATTCATCTTCTTTGTTTCTTAGACGTGAGACTTGTCTTTCCTGAGACCCATCCAGCAAGCATTGTTTCACATTTTTGTGGCCCAGACTAGGTCACATGTCCATTCTGAAACCACTGGCCATGGCTAAGACTATTCGGAGTAAAATGGATGTTGGGAATCAATCAGTCTAAGTGGATTCATGGAAGGAGGTGAAAAGTATCAAGTCTATTCCAAATAGCCATGAAACATCTCCTCTCCTTTCAGATGGTCCAAACTGCCAATTGGCGGAAATTCTTCTCGCTGGACATACTAAGGTACTCGGTACTCAGCCTTCCTCACACATTCCCTGAGCTGAGCTCCCGGGATTGGCGAGGCAGGCGGGGGGACCCCACAGCAGGGCGCGGAGCCCTCCCTTGGACTTGCAGCAGAACTCTGTTAACTTAATGAATGGCTCCTGGGGCCCAGGCACACCCAGGGGATCTGTGGAGGCCACGAGGGCAAACGCGCACGCCACGAGCGCCCAGTGCCGGGATTCGCCCCGACATTTCACCACTGGGATTCGAGTTCTGGGCTGCAGGCGGGATACTGTCACCCCCACTTTTCATTGATCCCCAAAACACTAATTTCAAAAACCCATTTCCCCGCACCCCAAAATAAAAACGTCAACACGGGAACTACAACCCCGGGATGTTGAGGCAGGGTGTGAGGAGGCGGCAGGATGAGAGGGCTGCAGTCCGAGGTCTCGCCCTGACCGTGGCTTCCGTTCACCGGTCCCTCCGCACTCGCCTCCGCGCCTGCGCACCGGCACCCGCGGAGGTGGTGGGCGGGGCTGCCTTCGTCTCCGCCCCCCGTCGCTGCTTGTTAACGGCAACCGGGTCTTTGCTTCACTTGCTCGCGGCGCGGAGCTCAGTACTTTGAGAAGCGGTTGTGCGATAGGATGAATGCAGGCTCGGACCCCGTGGTCATCGTCTCGGCGGCGCGGACCGTCATAGGTGAGTGGCCGGCGGGCTCAGCGAGGGGTCCGAGCCGCGACGACCCCGGGAACCGTAGGACCCTCGGAACCCGGCGCCTCGCCCTTTTCCCGGCCGGGCGGGAAGCCTCGCCCTCCTCCTCACCCGGTGTGGCCCCCTCCGCTCCCCGTGCTCCGATTGGCTTTCCGGGTAGAGCCACCGCGCCCCCGGCTTTCCCATTGGCTGGCGGGGAGAGGCGCTCTCGCGCGAGGCCCCTGACGAGCCCGTTCTGGGCGGAGCCGTCGCAGCACCGCGGCCGCAGGGCGGTTCGGCGGGTGGTGCGAGCTCCGCGCGGGGCGGGAGCTGAGCTGCGCCGGCGGGGGTTAGTGAGGACTGCCCCCGTGGCCGGAGTGCTGCGGAGATTTCGAAGCCCCGGGACGCGTGGAAGCGTCGCCCTGTTGGGAAGCGTGGACAGTGGCTCGGACCTGGGGAGAGTTTGCCGGTGCGGCGGGGGGCAGCTCCCCAGCGCCCAGGGCGCCCGCCTGCAGCCCCGTCTTCACCACCCTCGCGCGCCTCTCTTCCAGGCTCCTTCAATGGTGCCTTATCCACCGTCCCCGTCCACGACCTGGGCTCCACTGTCATCAGAGAGGTCCTGAAGAGGGCCGCTGTGGCGCCCGAAGAGGTGTCGGAGGTCATATTCGGGCACGTTTTGACAGCAGGTAACTCCTCAGTGGCCCTGGCAGAGGTCAGGCTTATTAGACGTAGCCCATTAGCGCGCCCCTCCCCCCGCGCCCCCGACACACACACACACACACACACCCACGCCCAGGATCTTGTGTCCATGTGTTTGCTCGCGGAGTTCCCTGTGGAGTTCTTCCTGTCGCCCCCCGCCCAGCCCTTCAGGTTGCTTCTCTCCGCTGAGCATGCTGCGTCCTTAATGGGCATTTACCGAGTGGACCTAGACCTCCGTCCTCCACCATTTCTCATTCCGTAGAAGCAGGGCCAACCCAACCCGTGGGACAGTGTGCACGCACGGCCCTCCGTATAACCCCAAAGTGTCACACATTCGCTAAACACGGATTGATTTCCCCCCTTGTGCCCTGCACTGCTCCAGGTGCGGAGCCACCGCGCCGACACAGGTAGGGGCCTTGCCTCACGGGGCTCCCTTCTGAGCTGGCAAGGGAGGTCGCACTTCTGCTCCTCCCAGCGAGGGCCTGTCACTCCCCGGGTGGGCACAGGCGAGCCACCAGGGTGCTTCCGATTGCCAACTGGTTTATAGACCAGTGATCACTAACAATTCCTAACGAGCTGTTGATAACGAATTTCATGAGCATGAAATTTCACTCGGCATAAATTCTCCTTATATAATGCTCTCTTACAGCCGTCTTTTGTCATTACCCTGAGACCCGGCCCTTTTTTCTGTGGATTTTCTTCCTAGTTTTGTGGTTCTTCTTCCTGATTCTCCTTGTCTTACTGTCCTTCTCGGGACTCTCCAAGGCTTTAAAATCTGTGACACCCTCAGACTGGCCACCTTCGGGGCACTCCCTCCTTTTTTCCTTCCCAAACCCGGAACTCATTCACTCACTCACTCACTCACTCGCCAGAGATACTTCACTGCCGGTTCCTCTGCTTTGCCTTGCACGCCTCACCTCTATACTGTCTCCACGTGATCATAGTGCAAATAATAGCGGTGCTTCTTGAGGGCCTTTAAAGCCGTGTGCTTAGTGATATCCTTTCATTACCTCATTTAATCCTCTCAGCGAGTCCTTTGGGGCATACTCTGTTTCACAAATAAGTAAATGAGATTTTGAGAGGTCAAGTTTGAAGTGGAACTAGCCCTTGAACCCACATCTGGCCTACTTAAGCCTGGTTCCCTCCACAATCATGTAGCAAATATTTACAGAGCACCTGCTGTGGAGCAGGCACTTCTGTCAGCTGGGAGAGGTCATGTTCCTATCAGTTAGAAATTTGCATTCTCACAGAGCTCATAGTCTGCCAAATGATAGACTGTTATGTTCAAAACTCACTTATTAACTCTTAAGTACCAGAGGGTGGGGACTATGAATAGATACATAAATTTTTTTAAAGGAGTTATTTATTTAAATGCATATGTAATTTGTTGTAGCTTAAAAAACCAGGAGCCTAAATAACGTTAATGTCTTTTTTATTAACTAGTGTTTTGTGAGTTTAATTCAGAGAATATTTTGATACTGCTTTTTCATAATTTTTCCTGCGTCTATTTTCAGTCTCAAGTTTTTAGCCTTCAGCATAGTCCCAGATTAATAACACCATGATGAGTATAATTTAAAAATTTTTGTCAATGACCCACTTGCTATTTTTTTCCAACAAACTCACCAAGGAAAGGTGCTAGGTATGGGTATATCTGAAATTCGCAGTAGAGTAACCACTGTATAAACATTGATCCATTGATCACAGACACTGGGGAAAGAGAATACTTGAAACGTTCAGCTGCACCCCCTTCTCTGCTACTTTGATTGAATTAGGTTTGTACTATATTCCCATTCCCTGAAGGAAGTCCCCATAGTTGAATTAGAGAAAGGTATTTGTCAGTTCTGATACAATACACGTCTTGTTGCATGACCAGTTAACCCTGGTATGATGAGAATAAAGCAAGAAAAGAAGTACATCTTATCAGAGGTTTTCTTCTTAAAATAATCCTCTTATATACTCAGGTGTCTTAGGCCATGATCATGGAACCAAAGAACCCTCATTAGAAACATGCATGATGCCCAAGTTCTGCCCTACATTTGTAAGGCTGCATGTGCTCATTCAAGCCCTATCGGAAGCTCAACAAGACAGTTCCTTCTTTGTGGAGAAGAAAGCTTATATCCATGAAATATCTGTAGAATGTATCAGATAATGCATATTCCAGGGCTAGACTGACAGGTGTAGAGTGTACACAGGTCTTTTTGCCTCTGGTGGGAACTTGGCTTGTCTGGGAAGTAGCAGGACACCCAGTTGGCAGTCACCTGATTTTGCATGTACTTTGCCCCAAACATTTGATTTTTCTCTTTGAGTGCTGAGAGGCCTCTGTGTTCCTTCTTCCAGGTTGCGGGCAGAATCCTGTTCGACGAGCCAGTGTGGGTGCAGGAATCCCCTACTCTGTTCCAGCATGGAGCTGCCAGATGGTCTGTGGGTCAGGCCTGAAAGCCGTGTGCCTGGCAGCCCAGTCAATAGGGATGGGAGACTCCAGCATTGTGGTCGCAGGAGGCATGGAAAACATGAGCAAGGTAAGGCCTCTGAGGAGCTGGTGCTCTAACATTTCACTGGTAAACTCAGGGCCAGGCCCTTGTGGTGAAAATAGATGCATATCAGCTGAAACCAAACAATAAACAGAAAATGGTTTCAGCCCTGGTTCCTACCCAAATGTTAATCATTCTTCAGATTGGGTGGGAAATCAGCTTGAAGAAAAAGTCTGTCAGCCAGTGTGATTGGAACAGAATACATTTTTTTCTAAAATGTTACTGAAGCATAAAGTACTTCCTGAATTAAACTGATAACATTAGTTGGCTGATATCCTTGGTCTTATATTTCTTTCTCATTGTGAGGAAAAGTCAAAAACGCATGTTGCCTTTTACCTTCCAGTACTTGAAGACCCCAGGGGCCAGATATTGTTGGCCTTTCAGAGTTAGGGCATGTGCAGAAGAGGCATGCTGAGGTAGCTCTTCTGCAGAGGTCTGCCCGGTGGGCTTTGTTTCCCTGAGCCCCAGCCTTCAAATGGGCGTAGCAGTGGAAAGGAAAGATTATATCTCCTGCTTCCCATGGGCAATTCAGGGGCTGATCTGGGGATCCCTGAGCAGAGGCCATCGTTGAGGCCCAGGAAGGGTGCATTCAAGGCCGCAAACACCAGAGTCACTCTGATGGGACCACACATACCTATAGTGCTTTACGAGGTGTGCCTATGTGTGTTGTCACCAACAGCTTTTGGAGGAGAGATGGTATCATTCCCAATTTACAGGCAAGGAAACTGAGGCCCAGAGCCTGGATTGAAATTCAGATCTTGTGACTCCAAGTGTTTCCATTCTAGTATACCTGCTGATGAGTTGGTAGGAGTTAAGAGGATTCCTACCCAGCAATCACTCTCCATTGTTAATTAGGGATCCTGATTATGCTGTTGTAGGCATGGTGTCTCCCATTGAAGTTGGGGGCACATTTGTTAGCATCACTTAAGCTCTTAGAGGAGCTCCTCATTGAACAGATAACTAGCTGCCTCTTTGGAAAGGATAAATGAGCTATTTAAGGAAATAGGACACAGAATAGATAGGTTTGATGGAAAAAGAAATGCATAGATAGGAGAGTAATGGGTTCCTAAGAGTCGGCAGGGTGAGTGGTCTGCTGCTATCCAGGGTGTCTAGACCCTGGGCCCTGGGTGAGGAGGATGGGCCGGAACTGAGGAAGGGTCACAGGAAGGAGCAGGTGAAGCGCTGGATAGTTTTCAGTGGGATCTGGAGGAGAGGACTAGTTACAACGAAGCCTTAAAGATGTTTCTGTTTCTTGTTTCCAGGCACCCCACTTGGTTCACTTGAGGACAGGAGTCAGGCTTGGGGAGACTCCGCTAAGTGACAGTATACTCTGTGACGGGCTCACAGATGCATTTCACAGCTATCATATGGGCATCACAGGTGAGCTGCCAGAGCTGCCGTCATATGTAAGTGGGGCTAAAAAAGATCACATGATTATTGGCTTCACAGGTGCCTTCTCCTTCAAGGCAGGGAGTGTATCCTACTAATCATTTTGTACCTCGGGGTTGTTCTCTGGGATGGACTGAACTGAGGAAACATCCCCTCTCTCCTTTGTGACTCCTGGATTATGAGGGAATTTTGAGGTGGGAGGCATCAGTCTCCCATTTTACCATCTGCAGAAAGAAGGGCCCACAAATACTGGTCCTGTGGCAGAGGCAGTATCAGACACATTAGTACCTCTACACCTGACTCTGTTCTTTGTAAATACTCAGATCTTCATTAGTCATCATTTAGAAGGCACCTGTGGTCTAGGTTTACTGGCAAAGCAACTGGAAGATCAAAATAACTCATGTCTCTACTACATATAAATGTAAAGCTTGGGAACAGAGAAGGGACATTTACTTTTAGTGTGAAAGAAACAAACCCTGAGAGGTTAAGCACCTTGCTTAAGTGTGTGTGGCAATCACTGTGGTTCTGTGGGAGCTGTATATCATATCAAAAAGGATGAGGAGGGAAAAGGCAGAGGAAACTGTTTGCAAAAGCAAGGAGGGAGGGAAGGGTTTGGCAATGTGGGGAACGGTTATGTGTTGCCAGCACTCCTACACTATAGGAAATGTTAAAGGAAGTTCTGGAGACTGGAGGGAACTGACACCAGACAGAAACCTGGATCTACAGGAAGGGATGAGGAGTACCACAAATTGTAACTATGCAAGTAAATATAAAAGATTACTTTTAAAAAAAGATGTGGCTGTTTACAGCAAAAGGCATAACACTATTGTAGGGTTTACAACATAGGTAGTTGGAGTAGAACTAAGGATTGGGGAGCATAGAACTATACTGTCCCAAGATTCTTAAATTTTGAAATAGTATTAGCTCTAAGTAGACTATGGTAAGTTAAAGATACATATTGTCATCCCTAGACAATCACTAACGCATGCAAAGAATTATGGCCCCAGCACAGTTCCATCATAATTGCAGCAGACTTTTTCTTAGAGATTGACAAGGTGACTCTAAAGTGTATACTTGGAAATGCAAAGGACCTAGAGTAGTTGAAATAAAACAAAGCAGAAAATAGAAGGACTTACACTGTTGGATTTTCACACTGTAAAGCTGTGGTAACCAAGACAGTGTGTTTTTGGCATAAAGACTGGCAAGTAGACCATTGAAGCAGAATAGAGTTCAGAAATAGGTCTAGACTTACACTGATTTTCAGTGGAGGTATCAGTGTAATGAAATGGGAAAAGGAAAGAAAGCTTTTTCAACTAATGATGTTGCAACAATAGATTACTTGTGGAAAAGATGACCCTAAACTACCTTACACTGTATACCAGTATTAACTTGAGATTAATCATGGCCTAAAAACAAAAGCTAAAGCTATAAAGCTTCTAGAAGTCAACATAAGAGAATAGCTTCTAAAACTGGGGATAAGTAAAGACAAGACTCAGAAGACAATAACCTGAAAGATTTAATAAATTAAATTTCTGCCCATCTTCAAAGGCACTGTTAAAATGAATAAGCAAGCTACAAATTGGGAGCAAATATTCACAATATATATATTTGACAAAGGACTTGTCTCTAGAATATAAAAAGGACTATAACAACAATAAAAAGATTAAAAACCCAATCAAAAAATGACATTTCATAAAGAAAGATACATGGATGGCTAATATAATAAACCCATGAGAAGGTGCTCACCATTACTTATTAGGGAAATGCAAGTGAAAACCACAATAAGATGCCACCCAACACCTGCTAGAATGATTAAAATTAAAATGACTGACACCACCAAAGGATGTGGAACACCTAGAACTCTCATACACTGCAGTCATGAATATAGAATGGTACAACTATTTTGGAAAAAGATTTGTCAGTTTCTTTACCCAAGAGAAATGACAGCATTGATCAGTAAAAGCTTTGTGCAGCATGTTCATAGCAGCTTTATTCACAATAGCCAAAACCTGGAAACAATTCAAGTGTCCATCAACAGGAGAATGTGTAACAAATAGTTGTATAGTCATACCATGGAATATTACTCAGCAATAAAAAGGAACAAGGATAAACTCAACAACATGGATGAATATGACAAACATAATGTTGAGCAAAAGATTTGTACTTTTCTACTCATTATAAATGTGTGATGGAAATGTTATATATATGGGATATATGGCTGCATGCATTTACCAAAACTTACTGAATTTTAATCTTAAGGTTTTTGTATTATGCTCTGTGTAAATTTTACTAAAAAAAGAAAAGAACTGTAAACAAATACTGAGTTCTAGTTATTAGGTTTAGTTTTCCCAGAGGTTAGAGGCTAACAGATTTTAAAATTACCTTCTTTATATTCTAGGTTTGGGCAAATGAGTAGATACATTGAAGACAGTGGGAACCAGGCTTCTTGCTACTATAGAAGGGACTTTCAAGTATGGAAAGGGAGAAGAATGTAGTTGGTGTTAGATTGCATTCAGACATATCAGTGGGAACTCAAGGGATCACCATGAGTGTGTATATATGGTCATTTGTAAATTGTATATGTATATATAAGTTGCTAATGAATAGGCACATAAACAGCGACATGCTAGTAACAATAAGAGGTCCTGCCACCCAGATCTTAGGTTTCTAAATGCTTTTCTCCATCGAAAAGAACTAGGACTCTTTTGAGAAATATCTTATTCCAGGGTTAGGAGAAAAGTGCAAAAAAAAATAAGGAAGGGCATAGAGCACATGGGAAAATGTCAAAAGGACACAGGAGCCAGTTTAGAGGACTCCACTGCCCAAATCTTGAACATTTAGAGCTCAAAATAAATAATGTTATAATGGGTTATAACTTACTAAACAAAGTTAAAATATATGAATACATACTGATGTAAATAAATGGAGAAGGAAATGCTCTTTATAATAGGATGCTATTTAATACATATAGAAGAAATGTTGGAGTAAGAAAATCATGAAGGAATGCTGAAATTAATGGGTAGAATTTGTTGAGAAAGATACTTTCATAATCTCAAAATAACTTCCCATAAATTTCTGATTAATTATAAATGGAAAAATAGTAATATTACAGTGTGGAAACATGGTAGATACCACTTTAACCAAATGATCTGATCTAACATCACCTTCGCTAAACTGCTATCATGTGTATCCTGGTAAGATTTCCCAAGAAGATCATATCATTCAGTGGCATACCTGCTTTTCCACATAATCTAGTCTAATCTTGAGGAGACATCAAACCAACCAAGCTGGAGACATTGACAAAAGAACTGGCCCCCCTATTCCACAATATCAAGGTCAAGAAACACAAACATGGCCTGAGGAACTGTTCCAAGTAAAATGAAACTACAGAGGTTGACAGTGAAGTGCACTGCTTGATCCTGGGTTGGATCCTGGGCTGACCGATGATCTGGCTACACAGGACATCACTAGGGGAAATGTGGATAATATGCGCCAAAAATTAGATGATAGAATTGTACCAATGTTAAATTTCCTAATTTTGATAACTGGTTACATGAGAAAGTTGCTTTGTTAGGAGAGATACACACACATTAAAATAGAGAGAGAAGGAGACATGCTATCTATAGTTTTTCAAATGGTTCAGAGAGAGAATGATAAAGCAAATGGAGCAAAGACTAAAACGTTGGTGAAATCTGCAGAAAGGAAATTTCTGAAAGTTTAAAATGATAAAGGAAAAGAGAGAAGGAAGCAAAGAAAGAAAATAGCTTCTGAAGAGTCACTGCGCATTTCCAAATTCATTGCCTGTGGGAGGCAAGATTGCCACAGGGTGCGTTGTAGCCCACCAGAGAGCCTGCTGGTGGGCGTTCAGTGCTGGTGTGAATGTAAAAACTTGAGCTATCAAAAGCCAGGTCCTGAAAATGTTTGGGTTTTGCCTTACGTTTTTTTTTTTTCTTGCACAGCTGAAAATGTAGCCAAAAAATGGCAAGTGAGTAGAGAAGATCAGGACAAGTTTGCACTTCTGTCCCAGAATAGGACGGAGAGCGCACAGAAAGCTGGCCATTTTGACAAAGAGATTGTACCAGTTTTTCTATCTTCTAGAAAAGGTGGGTATATAAATCATAAAGTTTAAACATCAACGTGGCTGTTTTTAGATAAGCATAGTATCCAAAAATAACGTTGGTAAGTTGTCTGAGGTTTCTCTTAGATTGAAAAGGACACGTAGGTCCTGGCTACTTCTGAACATGGTAGTAGAGTAGGGTGGGGGAACTTTGCATGTGGTGAGGAAATGGGAAGCTGTGCCACCATTCAGACCCTCCTGGCCCCAATGTCCACATACTGTGTAGATACAGCAGGTTTCATGAGAAACTGGGTATTGGCTCATGGTTGTCAGGCAGCAGTTGACCTTTCACCCCTTCAGGCCAATCTCCTCCAAAGTGAACATCCATTACTTGCTGCTTCTGTGTGCATTTCATATTTCTTGAGCGTGGATCTTTTCGGGTCTCTTTGTTATGGTGATGGAATGCTCCGGTCAAGTGCTGTTGCTGATAACTGACCTCTCATTTGTTCAGCCCTTTCAGTTGGCTTTGACACTCCCTGACCCAGACAGCTGTAACCAGCCAAGTCTTGTGCCCCCAACATAGCAACATTTTGCACAAGAATTGCCTCAGAAAGGGCAATGGATATGGAAAACACAAGGCTCATTACATTTTAACAATCATTTTTATTAGTATGTACTTTCCTATTGGAATGAGTTTCATTAAACCTTTCTCCCAAGTATGTATCCTCACGTTCCTGTCTGAGGGATTCACCATTCCCAGCACACTGCTGCCATCTCTACTAATCTTGGGTTAATTTTTTTCTTTTCAGGTCTTACTGAAGTTAAGACAGATGAATTTCCTCGCCATGGGAGCAACATAGAAGACATGTCTAAGCTAAAGCCTTACTTTCTTACAGATGGAACAGGAACAGTCACCCCTGCTAATGCTTCAGGTCAGTTTCTGGAGGGCAGCTGGGGCACTACCACCTTCTGCTAGGTCTGCCCGGTTACTTCTTTTTCATTATAGTTATTCTACAGCCTTGTTTTAGTTGCTTTAGGGAAAAGTGTAACTATTATTTGATCATTGACTTTATCTATATGTACCGAAAGAATGGATTTGGTTTCCCAACAACCTAATTTGACATACAGATGAAAAAGCAAATTAGGGAACCCCCAAGATTATATACCACCTTTGTACTTTTCCAAAACCAGAAATTCTCAGTACCTCCTGTGAGGCCTGGGCTGTTTCTTCCATTTTTCATTAATCAACCCCCACCCCACCCCCACAGATATTTCTCTCTTGAATGTTCTGTGGTCCATTGTGTCTTATTACCAAACTTAACCTCTTCAAATTATACTGTAGAATGTGAATTATGGCAAATGACTTTGCCAAGATGGGTTAACAGTAATTTAACTCGTGTCTTCAGGCGCTAGAGGAGGTAGACACAGCATATAGTTGAGGTTAACAAGTATTATTTGAAATCAAGACATTCATATTTTATAGGAATAAACGATGGTGCTGCAGCTGTGATTCTTATGAAAAAGTCAGAAGCTGGTCGGCGTGGGCTGACACCTTTAGCAAAGATAGTTTCGTGGTCACAAGTCGGTGTGGAGCCCTCCATCATGGGCACAGGACCGATCCCCGCCATCAAGCAAGCTGTGAGTTTATGCGTGCCTGTCCACTGCTGTTGATAAAACCTCTTTTGAACCAGACCAGTAACCTGTAAACCTGTATTAACTTCTGCTGTCTTTAAGCCTCGTAGGTTCTTTCCAATCCAAAATGCTGAGTTGACGATGACTGATTCTTGCTTAATCCTATCAGGTTTCATTTGCTTCGTTTCTTTAAAGTCTTCCCATTAGCCTTACATAACCTTAGCTCTCTCTAGTCTACTTGAATACAGAGCAGCCATGAACATTTGGATCATATGCCCTTTGGATTCTGCTCTACCACTTCATCTATACCTAGCTGTTACCAGTTTAAAATTTCCAAGGCATTACCCTAATCTTTTAGAATTGGTGTCACCAAGGCAAAATGATTTATCACTAGGCTAATGGCAGAAGCCAAAGTGGCAGTTTCTAGAGACCCATGTCAGAGTACATTCTGCTTCTGTATCTACAATGAATAAGGGTTCCACTGAATTTTTAGACCTCTGTCCCATTTATCTTTTCTTTAGGTTGCAAAAGCAGGTTGGTCTCTGGAGGACGTTGACATATTTGAAATCAACGAAGCCTTTGCAGTCCTCTCTGCTGTAATAGCTAAAGAACTTGGATTAAACCCTGAGAAGGTAAATATGAGCAAAATAAATCCTGTATGGAGCTTGCAAATGAAGTCACGGTGAAAGGACATATCATCCCCAAGTATCGGCCATGTAGCAATGGGTGGACACGGGTAAATTCTTGCTCGGCCTTGGGAGTTCATGTATTTTGTTGCTTCCCAAAGCAAAGAACCTTGTTATATTTCTTCTTACTTAAACAAGACATTTAATATCTGCCAAACTGACATGGAGCATGGGAGGCAGTCAGGATGGATCTTTCAAGGGTCTAAGCCAGTTCATTTTGACCCTATGTCCAGAATAAATGGTGTAAATCTTCTTTCCCTTAGGTCAACATTCAAGGAGGAGCTATAGCCTTGGGCCACCCTATTGGAGCATCTGGCTGCCGAATTCTCGTTACCCTGTTACACGCCATGGAGCGAAAGGGCGGACAGCGCGGTGTTGCTGCCCTATGTATTGGGGGTGGGATGGGAATAGCAATGTGTGTTCAGAGAGGATGAAATGCTTAACAATTAATCATGCCTATACTAAGTATGAACCTCATCTCTTTAATAAACTACTAAGTTATAATACATGATTATCAGAGGACCAAGTGAGGACGGAAACCATGTCCTATTTTCTAAGAACTCAAGGCTCAACAGCTTGTATTTTAATGAGTAATATTCAAGGTACAAGATGATTACATCTTAACAATTTATAAATAAATCAGATCAGTCACCAAGGGCTCCCGAGTGAACAGCATTTTCATAACCCCCGTGTTTATCATCTTTGTTTTCTGGGTGTAACTTAATAAGATCATCAATTCGAAGAATGGTAATTGCAGCTTCTGTTGCAAATTTCAAACTCTTAACTTTAACTATGGTGGGTTCAAACACCCCTGCTTGCTTGTTGTCTCGAGGCTTACCATTGACCAAATCAAGGCCAATCCTGTAATAAAGGGAAAAAAACGATTAATTGGCTTCTTCCACAACACACACCCACTCCATCCCTGTACAGGTTGATTAGGTGGCTCACTGACCCAGCTATTCCACTCCAATGTTACTCTTGGGAAATGTTGGAATCTTAGGGTAGGTCCCTTTGGTAAAACTAAAGTAGTTGACTACGAATAACAAATTCAGCTCTGAAAGAGTTGTATAAAGTAATAAATTATTTCAAATATCATTTAATAGCTTATACAACAGAGGTTGTTTAAAAATGGATACAGGTCATCCAAAAAGAATCTCCCCTCAACCTCTGTGGGACACTACTATAGGTAAAGGGACTACCCAGCAGGGAGAGTTGGACATCAAATTTGCACACCGATGCTCATAGAATCACTAGTCATCCTTCATGAATATAAAAACTAAATTACCATATATAATACACAGGAGACAACAGCAGACAGGGAACCTGCATGCTTACCATTTTAGGTTTTTGCGTTCTGGGTTAACCTGAGCCTCATTATGAAAAGCTCTTAACTTTGCAACCAGATCAGTAGAGTCTTGGGCAGCATTAACAGCCAGTGTATTAGGAATGACAAGAAGAGATCTTGCAAACTCTGCAATGGCAAGCTGTTCCCGAGACCCCTAAGAGGACAGACAACGAGATGACTTCAGAGAACCCACCAGAGCAATTAGGTCTCAGAGGTACATTAACAAATTGCCCACAGTTACATTATATCCCACAGCCTTCCAGAAAAGAAAAAATGGGTTTCTAGGTATTCTTACCATGCTGGTCGCATAGTTTTCAAGGTATATGGAGAGGGCAGCTTCTACAGCACCCCCACCTGGAACCACAGATTTTGACTCCAAAACTCTCTTCACCACACAAAGAGCATCATGTAAAGAACGCTCCATTTCATCACACATGAAATCATTTGCCCCACGTAAGATAACTGATGCAGATGTACGAGCCTTAGTGCTTTAAAAATAAAGCAAAATTCTTAAATTAGTACTTTTGTTAAGTCTACATAGAAATCAATGTAAGTGCCACATTTAGACATGAAAGCAATGTCTAGACCATGTAGAAGAGATGAAAAAGTCACTCCATCTCAATTTACAATGGCCCAAGGCTACTTTATCCCATGCGTATAACTGCTCGTATTACTGAAAGACAACGGCAGCAAATGAATGGGAGGATATCTAATAAAATCTGTATAGCTTTGTAATTTATAAAGTAGCTCTTACTTTTTGATCAAGATCAGTTCATCATCACAAATTCTCTCCTGTACCACCTCTTCTGCTTGTCCCAACATTGAAGCTTCGAAAGTTTCTTCGCCTTCCAAATTGGCCAGGGTTGACAAAATAGTCGCTATAAGACAATTACAAAAGCATCTAAACATTGTCCTCCCATGAGTATTTTCATGTCTTACATTCAGAACATATATAGTAAAAATGACATATAAATGCAAGGTAAGGTTTATAATTAGGCTCAGTCAGGCAACAGCCCTTTTACCTTAAGATGGAACTATGTCATTTTGAGGTGAAGAGATTTCAACAAGTGAAAGACCCTATCCAGTTACATGAAAAACAGTTCTTCAAATACATTGTAGCACAAAGCATTAAGGGACTATAAAGCAGAAACTTGTTTTTCAAGCTGCTTTGTGTCAACATTCCAATATGGAGACAGATGGTCACCTATGTAAACATGGAGTATGCTATCTAAGAGCTGGCAGAAGACATACCTCCAGAAGCTTTAGCAATGCGTTTAAGGTCCCTTTTTAAAACTCTTCTAACTGCCATGGCACCAGTCTCCACAAAATACTTCAGACACATATCATCAATTCCACCAGTGGTTAGAACAACATTGGCACCAGCTGCCAGGATCTTCTGGATTCGCTCCTTTGTGATATCCGATTCTCTGAAGTATTTGAGTAACACAAGTTATCTTGTGTTATTTAACACAGCTCTAACCTCCACTATTTTCCACAAAGTAGCAGATTATATTTATTAACCAGTTTACCTTCCTTAACCAGAATTTAAATTAGTCCAACTTACAGAAAAGTTCAAGGAATTAAAAATTACCACTTAGTTTTCCGTACCCCAATTCAAGTTCCTAACCAAGAACCCATGGAGAGAGCGCCCCTGCCTTCAAGGATCTGGCAGGGTGACAGCCTGAACCACACTGCTGGCCAAGTGCTACTCCAACAGAATGCAGAGATTACAAAGCATTAATCCAGCCTAGCGGGTGGAACAAGGGAAGATGAAGGCCTGGAGTCAAGAGGGGGTCCACAGAGTTGAAACTGCAGGCAGGAGCAGAAAATAAGAACCTTACAGGGATGTTAGAAAGTCTGGTCTGATATGTGTAGTATTTTTCAGTAGGTAATGTCATCCAATCTTTTCAAAAAGATCCCCCAATGTCAATATGGAAACCACACAGGAAAGATGAAGGACTGAAGGCAAGGAGGTTGTCAACAGGAGATACAGGCAGGTATCTGATGGGAACACAGTTGGGACAAAGAAGTCACAGGTTATGGCTGGGTAAGTGGGAGGTTCCGCCATTGACTCTTGGGGTAACACAGATACTAACAGGTTGGGGGCAGGAGGAGAAAGCAGAGGTTAGTTTTTGACAAAATGAGTTTGAAGCCCCTGTGTTATTCAGGAGAGCTTCAGTGAGGCAATCATAGCATGGAAGCCTACAGAGAAACAAACATGAATCTGAAAAATAGTGTAATACAAGTGAAGCTATTTTACTTCTTCAAAGAATACCCGAAATCATTCAAGGACTTTTTAAAGTGAAGTGCTTAAAGATGTACCTCAAAATGAACTTCTCTATGTACTTAACAAGTACACTGTCCCAAACGTCACAATAGGACAGGGGCTACAGAGTAAGGGCATCATTCAATCTCTTAACTTTAGAGCTCACAATCTAAGTTCTAAAAATACGAAGTCAGAAACTGTGGTAAGTGCCAGCAAGATGAAGTACAGGAAGTCTTGGTAGAGTATAATTTGAGGGAGAAAGAATAGTTTCTCTGAGAGGGTGACCACCTGAAAAATAGAAATTTAACCAGTCAAAACAAGTAGGCAGGTTATGTTAGAGGTAGAAGAAAGAACATTACTACAGAAGACTTCTAGTTGTGGCTGGACCACAGTAAAAAGAGTATTTAAGGAATTAAAAAATTATCTCTGAGTGATGAGTCTCCAAAAGGCCCTGGCCTGGTAGTGGTGAGGTTAACTCGGCTGCTGCATGGTAAACAGCCTAGAAGGGGACAAGAGGGAAGCCGGTGTGACCAGCTTGGGTGCCTCTGCAAAAGACTGGGCTAGAGAATGGAAATGGAAAGTAGTTGAATTTGAGATTTAATTATAGAAACCAAGTGGTCTTTGGTGATAGATTGAAAAAGAAAAGGCTACTAGGTAAAAAGAGGAATTAAGGATATTCCTAGTTTTCTGCCTGAGGAGCAGCCATCACTAAAATTGCCAACAGACTTGGGGGTATCATTACAAGTTCGGTTTTAGACATATTCACCTTGGGATGCTTCAGAAGCATTCTATCAAATATGTGTTTGGAGCTCAGAGAACTAGATTTGGGAATCTTCGGCACTGAGAGTATCTGAAGTCCCAGGAATGATGAGTTCTTCTGGGGAGAGCAGAGTGAGATAGTGACCACCTAGGCTTAGGAACCCAGACAAGGTGGTATCCCAAAGCGTTTAGGCAAAGGCTTGACAAGGGTCAGGTGATGGTTGAAAGTGCCTAGTGAATTTCACACTAGCTTAGGTCACTAGGTGCCCTTAGCAAGCAATCCTCCACTGGAGAACAGAGTTGAAAAGGAGACAGAAGCACAGCAACAAAAAGTTGTTTAAATCAATATTGAGACATCTGGCTGAAAGATGAGTAAGTATAGGGAGTAACTTAAGCAGGATGTGTGAGCAAGAGGTTTTGACTAAGGGTAAGAGAGCTACAAGTGGAATCTAGAAAGAAATGAGTGAGAATTAGTAGTTGAAGATAAAGCTGAGAAACAATCAATGAAACAAGATTCTAAGGCAGAAAGGCAACAGAATCTGGATTATTACTCTAGAAGAATTGGCCTTTGATAGGGGAAAGGATGCTGTTCTATCAAAAGGAAAGAGTATGTATCTAAAAGATAAGAGTGTTCCTGATTCTTGGCAAATGTTTATTAATTTGGTTCAGTTTTTTTTTTTTAAACTAAACCACTAACCATTAAAAGTCACTTGATTGATATGGGTCAAGTGAATGTAGTCAGTTAAGATCCATAGTAGATGCCAAATTACATCTTCACAACCAGCCCTCTAGCACACGGTCCAGTAACCAAGTATTTGACATACAGGTGTTCAATCAACAATACACTACATGGCTCCTGTGCTGCTTACTTGAGGAAAAGCATGCCTGGACATAGCTATCATCTTTAGCATCAATGCATCAAATCAAAATTCCACAAAAAGGTCATTTACATATAAGATGTATCACCCTAAATCATTACATTTTCTAATTTTCCTGGAAGTTTATGTAAAATAGTTTGACTTTGGTTTAAAATGTTCGTTTCTAAAGTTCTCCAAGACACTCACACTTTAAAAAATCCAGTTGCATAATCACCACACTCAGTTTCCCAGCAACTAGTTGATTACTTGCTTTGTTATCT